TGCATGTTGTTCTTTAAGTCAGTGTGCTGAGCTTGAGAACAGAATCAGTTTGATTCATGAATTATTGCAAAGATCTGACTCAAAAATGATTCTTTTGTGAATCAGATGTTGCTAATTCTTTTTCGTGGATTCTTGTGAGCTAGGGCAGACTTCAGGAGACTTGGAGTATGTTGCACAAGTCGTTTTGTAATACTATTAAATGTCCCTTTTTTTTTTTTTTAGCATTTGTTAACTTTTTTTTAAGTAGCAATGCAACAAAAAATAACAAAAGCTACAAAATGATTTTATGTTTTTAGTTTGAGTTTAATATAATAATCCTGGTCTGTACATTATTCAGAACATCTCCATTTATGTGTCACAATAGAAATAAAGCCAAACAGGTTTGAAATGACATGATGGCAATTAAATTACGATGGAATAAACATCTCAAATACTGTTGTAACCTTGAACCTAAAAATTGTAATCTGTGATGTTGATAAACTACTCGTGAAGTTTAAGATATACAATAACAGTCGAGCTTGGCAGGCTTTAAACTCTTGTGTTCCTTCTGCAGGTGTACCAGGGTAACGTGTCAGAGAACAGGTTGACATTTCTGATAACAAAGTTTATTTGGTATGTGTGTAGTAACAGAAAAAACAAACAACAAAGTTATGGTACTGATTTTTTTCCCCAAAGCTGGTGGTAATTAGTGGTTGACCGATATTGTTTTTTTGACAGCCGATGCCAATATCTTGGAAAGCAGGGTGGCCGATGGCCGATATAAAGCTGATATAATTTTATTTATTTTAATTCATATTTAAGAAATTTGAAATCATTTGAAATTGGATTAAAAATAATCTCAACTAGATTTGACTAAGTCTGCAAGGTTTGTGAAATTAAATGTTCATTAGTCATTCAAAGATTTGATTAAATGATATAAATATGTATTTGCTGAATGCTGACGGTAAACGAGAAAGTATTATAATGTTTGCCTTTCAATTACTAATAATATTAAAGCAATCGTTATAATACTTTTTTGTATACATTTTAATTCATTTGTTTAATAGTTCTATCTGATTATTAGATAGAACTGAATGATGACAGCGAACAAGAGGGAGAATGTACTGTTGTAACCTTGAACCTAAAAATTGTAATCTGTGATGTTGATAAACTACTCGTGAAGTTTAAGATATACAATAACAGTCGAGCTTGGCAGGCTTTAAACTCTTGTGTTCCTTCTGCAGGTGTACCAGGGTAACGTGTCAGAGAACAGGTTGACATTTCTGATAACAAAGTTTATTTGGTATGTGTGTAGTAACAGAAAAAACAAACAACAAAGTTATGGTACTGATTTTTTTCCCCCAAAGCTGGTGGTAATTAGTGGTTGACCGATTTTGTTTTTTTGACAGCCGATGCCAATATCTTGGAAAGCAGGGTGGCCGATGGCCGATATAAAGCTGATATAATTTTATTTATTTTAATTCATATTTAAGAAATTTGAAATCATTTGAAATTGGATTAAAAATAATCTCAACTAGATTCGACTAAGTCTGCAAGGTTTGTGAAATTAAATGTTCATTAGTCATTCAAAGATTTGATTAAATGATATAAATATGTATTTGCTGAATGCTGACGGTAAACGAGAAAGTATTATAATGTTTGCCTTTCAATTACTAATAATATTAAAGCAATCGTTATAATACTTTTTTGTATACATTTTAATTCATTTGTTTAATAGTTCTATCTGATTATTAGATAGAACTGAATGATGACAGCGAACAAGAGGGAGAATGTGGGCACTGTGTGTTCAGGCGCTGCAATCTCATCGCCGTCAAAATAAAAGTTCCGCCTCAACATATCGGCCAAACAGAAAAACTTATCAGCCAATGCCAATATTTGAAAAATGCCAAATATCGGCCGATATATCGGCCTTGGCGATATATCGGTCGATCACTAGTGTAGTAATACTGAGCTACTTTTAAACCCTGATGTTAAATAATGTCCAATTAATGTACAAATTTTTATATATTTATTTTTTATTAGAGTACATTTTTGTATTTAAATCATGATGCATTGTCAATAAATTTAGCATGTTGTCAGCATTTGCATGTCTGTTGTGTTCAAAAGTTAGGGGTCAGTAAGGTTCTTTTTTGAAAGAAGTTAATACTTTTATTCAGCAAGGATGCATTAAATGAATCAAAAGTGACAGTAAACATATGTATAATGTTACAAAAGATTTCAAATAAATGCTGTTTTCTTTTAACTTTGTTCATCAAAGAATCCTGAAAAATGCCTCACATTTTCACAAAAATATGAAGTAGCACAACGGTTTTCAACATTGCTAATAATAAGAAATGTTTCTTGAGCAGCAAATCAGGATATTTGAATGATTTCTGAAGAATCATGTGACACTGAAGACTGGAGTAATGATGCTGAAAATTCAGCCTTGCATCACAGGAATAAATTACATTTTTAAAAGGTACTCAAATAGAAAACAGCTATTTGAAATGGTAATACATTTTCACAATATTACTGTTTTTACTGTATTTTTTATCAAATAAATGCAGCCTTGATGAACATAAACAGACAACTTTCAAAAACATTTACCTTTCAAGTAGAGTACAGTACAGTAGTATACTGCAAAATATTCCATGGTATTTTAATGGTACTATATTAAATAAATAATATTAATAAAAACATGAATTATGTGTAATGGTAAGGTAGATTGTTAGGCTAAATTCTTAGCAATTTCGCATAATCTAGATTTATAGTAACAATAGCACAGTCCAGATTTATTGCAGAACAGGCTCAGTCTCTTGTCTCAAAGACGTTTCACTCTGTTATAAAATGCACCTGCAGTGAAAGCGAGAGCGCTATGCAGTGAGCTGTTGTTTCCTATTCAGAACATGTCAAAACTCAAAGCCTCGGGGTAATTTCACAACAATCACTAGTGAGGTGACGTGTAAAGGGGACAAAGATTCATGTCAAAGCATTGCTGGAATTATTGTCAGTGTAAACACCGAAAACAAACATGCGTTTTAATACATTGATGGCTTGTTCGAGGAAACCAGAGCTCAGTAAAATCAAATTAGCACTAAATGTTTAGTGCTTGCCAAGTCCAGCATCACTTTTACTGTTGCTCATACTTGAGATGAATGGTTTAGCACAACATTCACCCATAATATTTATTATATATATTTCAACATGATTCATTGTAACCCAGTCATCTGTCCGTCTCATAATTAGACTGTGAATCATCTTTCAGGATCCTGAAGTGTTTGAATGAATCTGTAGACTCTCCTCAGCTGCAGTGTTATGTAACCGCAGATGTTTTTTTTGCCCGTGTTTGCTCCACATATTCACATTACTGATATGAGCCTCTTATGTGTTCGAAGGTCGCACAGATACTGCATCTGTAAACTCTTTATCGCGCAACATCCCATGATAAACATCAAATAATTTAGATTTTACAATACTGTTATTTAGGGCTGCACGATAAATCGCATGCGATATTTAACGAGCATCTTGTCAGTAAAGCCGGTTCTTTAATCAGAGGTAAATCTCCATCACCTGTGGGCTTTCACATGGAGCAGCATTAACTACACAGAGCCGTTGTTCACCGACAAGCTGCGCAAAACCACGATCATATTTTGCGCATGTTTTGTGCAGCTTGTCGGTGAACAACGGCTCTGTGTAGTTAATGCTGCTCCTGATTACAGAATGGCTTTACTGACAAGATGCGCGTTAAATATCGCATGCGATTTATCGTGCAGCCCTACTGTTATTTTAGTATCACTTATACATTATCATAGTTTTTATTAATATTTTGAATTGGCTTTAATTTTTGTATTTTCAGTTTAATTTTTAGTATTTTTATGTGCAAGTATTTTATACACTAACTTAGTTAACTTTGGCCTATAATTTATTAGTTTACAGTTAGTTTTTATATTACCATAATGCAGTAATTATTAAATTAATATAATAAAAATTTATATTATGCAGTTAGTATTTTTAGTGCTTCAGTGTAAATATATTTTTGTTCAGTTTAAGTATCTCGTCTAATATTTTATTTCTTCATATTTGATTTTATTATTTTAGCTTTATTTTAACAAAAATATTATGAACAAAAATGTTCTTAATAGTTTTCCTTTTTTGCTTTTAGTTAGCTTTATAACCCGGTCTCTTACACACATACAGATGCATTCATACATGTTAGCCACGGCTTTAATTTTCTTAACCTATTGTTATCTTTCTTTAGAGATTAAAACGAACCATTCGGACTACAAGAAAGCAGTATAATTACATAGAGAGCTGCAGTGTTAAGATATTTTTGTAGTAAATACGTACGTTAGCATCACCCTGGTTCCCTCGAAAAAAAACACAATAGGATTTTTCCATTGGCTTTTGGATTATTGCAGAAAATAAGCTCTATAACCAACCAAAGGTTATGTTTCTTACATGTTTTGTTCATGACAATAATAAACAAATTAACACGACTTTTATGAATTGAAGCCTATGTACAATCACCAGAAGTAAACAGCTAAACATAGACTATAAATGAAAAGAGGGAATTACCGAAAAGGAAATTATGATCTTGTTCACCACAGACATCATTTCAGGCTTTAAAAAAAAACAACAACATCTAAAAACACACTGACCTCACGACATTGCAGTCGTAAGTGCCAAAATGCTAGTTTCTTAGTTTTGGCCTACAAAAATGCATCATTCCTGCAGCACTTTTTAGTGGTTGATCTGTCTTGTTAGTGATTCTGTCTACGCCTGCTTAAACTTGGAGCCAGAGATTTGAACAACAGTGATTTATGTTGCAGACATGAGCAATACCTCAGTTTTGATGGGCTGTTACATTTCTAAAACGTATGATTTGTGCCTGGTGGCCGATAAAACAGTGGAAAAGGCTCATAGACTTGCTTTGAAAGTGGTCTAGAATATTTGTGAAAATGGATTACTTGAATGATTGCTATTGGTCATGTTCTGGATTGTAACGTCTTTACTTCCTGTAGGGTCATCCGGTTCATGGTTCACCATGTGAAGTACTTCCTGGGTCTGCGCTATCAGGTCAGCGGTTGGGAACATCTACAGACAGACGGACCCTACGTCATCATCTCCAACCATCAATCATCACTCGATGTGCTAGGTGAACGAATACACTCTCACAATCAGTGTTACCGTTATTATTACCACAGGATCAAAATCTGCATGACCAGACCTGCTTGAATTCACTTCTTTCTACCTGCACACCCAGATGTCACATGATGGGATTTGTGCAGCCAGTCTTTCTGTGCTGATTCTCTCCTCCTCTCTGCAGGCGTGATGGAGATCCTGCCGGACCGCTGCACGATGATCGCCAAGAAGGAGCTGATATGGGCCGGGACGGTGGGCATGATTTGCTGGCTGGGAGGAATCGTCTTCATCAACCGCCAAAAGACCAGCGACGCCAAGAACGTCATGAGCGACGCCGCTAAAACCATGCTGGCCGACAAGGTCTGTCTTTGCCAAGATCTCACATCTGACAAATGGTAGTTTACCCGACAATTCTTTGAGTTTGAACCACTTCGCATGAGCTTTTAGGTTATTAATTGATGTTATATGATCTTATTGAAGTGTAATTTAATTGCCAAATTCCAGGTGAAAAACTACACTTCCCAGTGATCTTGAAGAGAAAATCATTGCAAACGTGTCAGAACAATGTCCTCGTAGCGTATTATAAAGTTGTATAAATGTACACTACTGTTCAAAAGTTTGCGTACAGAAAGATTTTTTAAGAAATGAATGCTTTTATTAAGCTAGGATGCATTAAATTGATCAAAAGTGACAGTTAAAGACATTTAAAATTTTACAAAAGATTTCTGTTTCAAATAAATGCTGCTCTTTTGAACTTTCCTTGAAGACTAAACTTTTTAAAAACGTATTATGGTTAGCACAAAAATGAAGAAATTTCAGTTTTGCATCACAGGAATAAATTGCATTTTAATATTTATTCAAATAGAAATCAGGCATTTTGAATTGTAATATTTTTTCACAATATTATTGTTTTTACTGTATTTTTCATCAAATAAATGCAGCCTTGGTGAGCAGAAAAGACTTTAATATTAAGAAGTTTCACAGACCTCAAACTTTTAGCTGTAATGTATATGCTAATATTTTGATGCACATTAAAAATATTTAGTTTTTGTGCTTAAAATCGGCAATCACTTGCACAGTTATCATTAGTTTTATATTGTTTTTAGTACATTATTTGCAGTGCTTCAGTGATTGTAGTTCATTCTCTTTGACCCAGGGTTATTATACTTCAGTAAAAACTATATATATGAAAATGAAATGAAAATATAAAAAAAACAACTTAAACTTATTTTATTCCAGGAAGGTTTAAAGGCAAGATTTGACATTTTTATTTTAAATAATATAATGAAATAAAAACGAATAAAAACTATATAGACATATTTAAAAACAACATTAAAAAAAACGAATAAAAATGACAAAAGCACCAAAAATTCTTAAAACTTTAAATAAAATGACCATGAGAGTAGGAAATATAAAAATAACATTTAAGATAAAACTATAGAATCTCAATGATATTAAAATAAAACTGCTTTGACCTTTTGACCCTTTTTACTGCTTTTGAAATACTTTTTGCTTAAAATTTGTATATGATGTTTATTTGGTTGATGGCTTAGAGCTAAGAAGTTTCTATAGAGAAAATGAATGGGAAAATACAACCAAGACCACTAAAGACATGGACCGTTGCTTTCGATTAACTTACATTATTTTTCAATGCTAAACGTTCAAACAATGCTGGAGATGTCATATTTAGTTTGCATAGTAAATTGTGTTTTGGAATTGCCATCTGTTGATCTATATTGCATGATATAGTACTATCAGTCTTAGTGCTATAGTAGGGATGTTGTAAGGAAGAGGTGCTGGAAACAATCTCATTTTGTGATTGCATTGAACTTTCCCTAGATCCGATTGTGGGTGTTTCCAGAAGGCACACGGAATCAGAACGGCGGGCTTTTGCCCTTTAAAAAGGGAGCATTTCATCTGGCCATTCAAGCACAGGTGAGTGTTACTTCAAGACTCCTTCACTTATGCTTGACCTGATATAACCTGACCTGTAAGTGCAAAGGACATAGCTTTAGTAATTTACCTGAACAAGCTTGAGCTCAAAGGTTCCTCATTAACCCATGAAAGCCGTGTCAGAGGTCAGAGGTCGTAATGGAGACTGGCTTTACTCATGTGGTGTTGTGTCTTGTCTTCACCAGCAGAGAGAGCTGTGCTTCCTTGTTTAGTGTTCAGCTTCTGTGTTGTTACTTTCACTCTGGCGCATTTTGATCTGAACAAACTCATTTCTTAAGCCACATGAAACATTCCTTCAGTGCTTCTTTCTTTCATGTGGCTTGTGAATAAACTTGAGAGTTAAGCCAATTGGATTGTATTGGAACAATGAAACGCTTGGCAGTTTTATTTTACTTTATTACTTCCCGTTTCAGTTTTTAAGCTTCCTGTTTAATTACCTATATACATATATGCAAAATATTTCAAAATGCAATTTATGTTATTGATGGATAATTCAATATTTGAAAACATGAGTTAATATTTAAAAACATGAGTTTAACCCTTTTAAACATTTTTAAAATGTATTTAGAATTTTAAAATGGTAGTTGATTTATTTATCAGTATATTTATGTATTTATTTATTTACACATGTAAAATGTAGAAATATATTTATTCATATATACACACAAATATATATATATATATATATATTCAATAAATTCTTTATCTTACAAAAAGCAGTTTAATATGTAAATGAATGAATATTTTTTGTTATATTTAACTACAATCTTAAACAAGAAATAAATCATTTTCAGTATTTATTTGTTAGTTTATATTGATTTAGATTTGTTATACAATTTTTTGTTTATTTAATATGTGCATATATTTGTACATGTAAAATATAAAGATATATGCAAAATTATTAACCTTTTAAAAATGCAAATTAATATTCTAACTGATCATCATTTTATTGTAGTGCTGTCGAACGATTAATCGCATCCAAAATAAAAGTTTTGTTTACATAATAAATAAGCACAGTACACATACATATATTATGTATATATAAATACACACACATACAGTATATATTTAGAAAATATTTACATGCATATATATTTATATTCTCATATTTTATATTATGTATAAATATAATTTATAAACATAACATATTTTTCTTAAATATATACATGCATGTGTTTGTATTTATAATAAATACACACAGTATGCACACATATTACGTAAACAAAAACTTTTATTTTGAATGCAATTAATTGCGATTAATTGTTTGACAACACTATTTTATTGTTATATTTAACTACATTTTAGAGGTAAATATTACCATTTAAAATAAGTATTATATTTTGAAAACATATCTTTAAATGTTTATTCTTCATAGGCCCCCTGACAGTGGTTTGAAAGCAGTTTTTCTTGTTGTTTTGACACATGTTCTTTTGAAACCGGATGTTTGGGCAGGTCATAAAAAATGCTTCCCTTTTTTCATTTTATAATAGACAATAGTTTACGTCACAGCTGAATAAACCACTTTGTGTTTTTGTAAGATGATCAATATTTTTGCTTCAGTCGAAGGACTGTGCATTTCAAATGCAAATTTGAAATATTTAATTTTTTCAGCTTTTAGGAGAGCACTAGCATATTGATTAGGCTCAACGCTAACAGAGCCTTGAAACTAAAACAGACTTTCACGTCTCTCTCAATTAAAAGTAAAACACTACATCTACATTTCCATGGCCACAAGAAAATGTTTTGGATGATTGCTGAAATGACTGTACAATGTAGATCATTTGTCACAAGTTCATATGAGGAGACTGAATGAGGAATTTGTGCTGAAAACTGAAAAAAAATTGTTTTTACGTTTGTGTGTAACTGCTTTTTAAGATCAGAATAAAGTAATATGAATCATGTGTGATGATGCATACTGATATAAAAAATGGCAGGCCGACGTAATCAAAACCAGATGAGCGTTGAGTTAAGGCAGACAGACATCACTTAATCTAGACCAAAGTAATGGAGGCCTGATGGTTCTCATTAGTTAAGGTAAAATATGTGAACAATCTGTGCCTTATCTTATCTTTTTATATGTGTTTTGTTTTGCATTTTGGCATTGTAGAGATATAACGTGCACCCTAGGAATTTTATACATGGTCTAGACTTTAAATAAAGTAGGAATTTCAGAAAATAAGCTTGGGAAAATATTTATATAAATGAGTGTAAAGTAAAAATGTATGTACAATGCAATGTAATATTATTATTGTATCATTCTATTAAATACGTTTAAACATTATAGCATTTTAAACATTTATTTGTCAATTTATATTTATTTAGAATTTTCAAATTAGTAGTTGATTTATTTATTATGTTTATATTTATATATATATATATGAATGTTCAACATATTTGTAGCCTTTTAAAATGCAGTTTAATATTTAGATTCATTTATTTGATTGTTTTATTTAACTACATTCTTGAAATTTTTTTTTAATTTGTCGATTGATATTTATTTGATATTTAGAATTTTTGAGTAAATTAGTAGTTGATTGTTTAATATAATAATTCATATCTTTATTTATTATATGCATGTATTTTACATGTAAAATCTAAAATATATGCAAAAGAATTACCTTTCGAAATGCAATTTAACATTTAAATTGATGTGTCAGTTTATTGTTATATTTACCTATGTCTTTAAACATAAAATATTTATTTGTCAGTTTACATTTATTTTATATTTGTTTAGAATTTTAAAATGTGTATTTGTTTCATTTATATTATTATTTTATTTGTTTGTTTCATTTTTGTGGCATTCCTAGTCCTTCATAATTTTGAGTCACATCTTTTTGTACTGATGATGGTTAAACTGACACACACTTTCTAGCTGTGTCGTCATGAGAAACAATGACTCTCTGGGTCTATTATTAGTCTGGGAGGATAGTTCGGTCTGTGTATGATCATATTTTTGTGTGTGAGAGCATTTCTAATCCCTGCTGGCTTACTGTCTGCCGCGCTGCACACGGTCCAACCATCCCTCTCTCTCTTTCTCTCTTAGGTTCCCATCATACCCATCGTCTTCTCTTCCTACAGTAACTTCTACCTACGAAAAGAGAAAGAGTTCAAATCAGGTAATGCACATTACAAACAAATGTTATGGAGAAACATAAGGCCTTTTGTGTGAATAGTTCACCAAAAAATTTAAATCTTTCATTTACCCTTCTTCGTGTTGTTCTAAACCTATATGCTTATGAAAAAAATAGTAGACATAGTAGCCCATATGACCTGTGTGCTATATTCAAAGTTCTCTAAAAACATACAGTGTATGAGGATCAGACTGAACTTTCAGTTGTTGTTGTTGTTGTTATTTATTATTTAATGAATTATTCCTTGAAATGCGTTGAGATTTTTATTAGTGCTTGAGCTTGTTTCTGCCACGTGATAAGAAAAAAATATAATTATGACTTTTTATCTCTTAATTCTTTACTTTTTTCCTCACAGTATTGACTTCATATGTTACAAATCTGCCTTTTTATTCTTGCAGTTCTGAGAAAAAAAATCATTAAATCACACAATTCTAAGATGAAAAGTCTGAATTGTGAGATTAAAAAGATTTTTAATTTTTTGTTCTGTGGTGGAAACTCGCAATTATGAGGAGAAAAGACAGAATTGTGAGCTATAAACTCGCAATTGTGAGAGGAAAAAAAGTCAAATTTGTTTGATAAAGGTGCAATTACCTCTTGTTTTTTAATTCTGTTGCAGAAACAAAAAACAGAATTGCAAGATGTAAAGTCACAATTCTGAGTAAAAAGTCATAATTGTGAGATTAAAATTGTTTTAAAAGAGAAAGTCACAATTACTTTTTTGTTTTTTTATTCCATGGCAAAAAAAATGGAATGTAAACACACAATTCTAAGGAAGAATGACAGAATTGTGAGACATGAACTTGAAAATCTGAGTTTATGTGGGTTTTCTGTGTCCGAATTGTCAGATATAAACTTGTTGCAAGACGCGCTGCACACGGTCCAACCATCCCTCTCTCTCTTTCTCTCTTAGGTTCCCATCATACCCATCGTCTTCTCTTCCTACAGTAACTTCTACCTACGAAAAGAGAAAGAGTTCAAATCAGGTAATGCACATTACAAACAAATGTTATGGAGAAACATAAGGCCTTTTGTGTGAATAGTTCACCAAAAAATTTAAATCTTTCATTTACCCTTCTTCGTGTTGTTCTAAACCTATATGCTTATGAAAAAAATAGTAGACATAGTAGCCCATATGACCTGTGTGCTATATTCAAAGTTCTCTAAAAACATACAGTGTATGAGGATCAGACTGAACTTTCAGTTGTTGTTGTTGTTGTTATTTATTATTTAATGAATTATTCCTTGAAATGCGTTGAGATTTTTATTAGTGCTTGAGCTTGTTTCTGCCACGTGATAAGAAAAAAATATAATTATGACTTTTTATCTCTTAATTCTTTACTTTTTTCCTCACAGTATTGACTTCATATGTTACAAATCTGCCTTTTTATTCTTGCAGTTCTGAGAAAAAAAATCATTAAATCACACAATTCTAAGATGAAAAGTCTGAATTGTGAGATTAAAAAGATTTTTAATTTTTTGTTCTGTGGTGGAAACTCGCAATTATGAGGAGAAAAGACAGAATTGTGAGCTATAAACTCGCAATTGTGAGAGGAAAAAAAGTCAAATTTGTTTGATAAAGGTGCAATTACCTCTTGTTTTTTAATTCTGTTGCAGAAACAAAAAACAGAATTGCAAGATGTAAAGTCACAATTCTGAGTAAAAAGTCATAATTGTGAGATTAAAATTGTTTTAAAAGAGAAAGTCACAATTACTTTTTTGTTTTTTTATTCCATGGCAAAAAAAAATGGAATGTAAACACACAATTCTAAGGAAGAATGACAGAATTGTGAGACATGAACTTGAAAATCTGAGTTTATGTGGGTTTTCTGTGTCCGAATTGTCAGATATAAACTTGTTGCAAGAAAAAAAAAGTCGGAATTGCGAGAGAATTGCAAGATAAGTCCGAACTACTTTTTTTGGTTTAATTCCATTATGGGGGAAAAAACAATTGCGAGATGTAAACATGCAATTCTAAAGAAAAACGAGGATTGCGAGATCTAATTAGTTTTAGTTCTGTGTCGGAAACAAAAAAGCAGAGTTGGGAGAAAAAAAGTCGCAGTTTTCTTTTTTTATTTTGGGCAGTAAAAAAACAATTGTGAGATGTAAACGCACAATTATGAGGGGAAAAAAGACTTAACGAGATAAACTCACAGTTGTGAGAAAAAGTCAGAATTGCGAGATAAAAAGTCACAATTACCTCTTATTTAAAAACAAAAAATCTGAATTTTGAGATGTTAAGCCGCAATTCTGAGGGGAAAAAACAGGCTTATGAAATAAAAACTTGCACTTCTAAGAAGAAAAGTCTGAATTGTGAGATGTAAACTTAAAATTGCAAGAAAAAAAGTCAGAATTGTGAGATTAAAAGTCAATTTTTTTTATTTTTTATGTAACGGAAAAAAGCTTCCATACAAACTAGAGCATGTCGATGATAATGTCGGCTAATATGGCTGTCTGCACTGTTTCAAACAGGAAGCATCACTCTGAAAATCCTTCCAAAGATCGAGACAAAGGGACTGACGGCAGACGATGTGACGACTCTCTCCGAGCAATCGTTTGGCATCATGCGTTCGGCCTTCCTGGAGATCTCCGGACAAACAGTGCAGAGCAACGGGCCATCCACCCACTGAGCGCCCTTTCATTCGCTCCGACAACAAGGATGGCTTGAGACTACTTCGTCGTCGTCGTGGTGATGCTAACCATGACAGCCAGGCGCTTTAGTGTCCTCTCTGACGTCCTCATGAAGCAGGAACACATGTCCATACAGACAGACAGACGCACATACATTCACCTTGACTACGGTGCATACAGCAGATGTTATCTTAGCCTAGTTTTGATCTCCCGTTGGACTCCGAGGGGCGCTAAGCGACGGAACGGTGTTCCACGTCATTTTCGATGTTGGTTCGGCTCGGACTGCTTTTGTCGGCGACAGGTTGAGTTTTGGAGCGACGCCCTGAGAACATCGTGGATGTGTGTTCGACATGCATGCCTTTTCTATGTTCCACTTCCTTTCACTGATCTACAGAGACTCGTTCTGTTCGTTTGTGTAGGTCGCTTTTTCTCGAGGTTCTCTGCTTGCATTATGGGAAATCGGTGACAAACATCGTTTTACTTCTCTGTCTTTTTTTCGTATGCAAGTGTATTTTTCTTTAGACACGCCCCTTTATTGTTTTAAATAACTTTATTGATTCAATGACCAAAAAGAATAATTTGGAAATGTCCAAATGTGTCGTCACAACCAAGGATTCGGAAAACTCATTAAAAGGTTTCGTTCATAACGAATATCTTCATTGTCACTGTTACAAAGTGCGGCTTCTTCTTGTGCCATGTGTCCAAAGTGTCTCAGCCGTTGGCTGTGTATAATGGTAGAATATTGTGGAAAAACTCTATTGATTATTGATCTGTGATCAGGATTGTTTGATTAGCGTTTAGGATAGAAATACGTTCCAGTTGGCTTAAGTTCGGTGCTTTGCTCATTTCCTGTTTTGGTTTGTTTTGAGGCTACAAAATACTTTCTTTTCTAAAAATGTACTTAACATTGTTCAATCCTTTTGTTTAAACTAAAAACCATTTGCAAGGGAATTGCTATTATAATAACTAATCGAAGAAGTATTATCTAACACATTATATAGAGTATGGCGTTATCTAAGCAGCCAATTTAACTAAAATGTGTTTAAGAGCCTTTATTATTAATAGTCAGATTTTGAAGGACAAAATCAAAAATCTATTTTACATTTGTTGACAAAACTTGGATTTTTCTTTCAAAACCTGCTGCTAAAATTATCCAGAGAAATTATTATAATGTAAAATGCTGAGGTTTGTAATATTTTTAAGTGGATGTTGACGAACGTGATCATAAATGGGCCACGTTCGCAGATCGTCAACGTCTAGTAATTGTCATGAGCTTATTTCTGTTCATAGATGAGGTATTACATTTTATCCTCAACTTTACAGTTTAACAAAGAAAGTCCATATTTAAACGAATTATAAAAATAAATGTATATAAATCTGAATATGTGAAAATGGCATTCACAATTTAATCTCAAAATGACCAATTATTTAACACCTATTTATTAAACCAGACTGTATCGACAGCTTAGGGCAGTAAAGTAAGATGAATATTTGTTATTACTTTCTAATCGCATTGCATTGTTGAATCTTCTATTTAATGCTCGATGTTGCCGTTCTTATTGTTTGTTAAGAATGTATAACATCTGATCCTTAATTTAATATGTACAATATTATTTAAGAGGACTGAATTGTACGTATCTTATTATAACGGCTCGTTGAGCTGAAAGACATTTTGCTTTGAACGAATGTTCAGTTTGGTTTATGCTAAAGGTCCAAATTAGGCCCTGTTATTGTTATTATTTAGTACAAATATAAACTCTTTTATGTTGTGTATTAGTTCACAGATTTTATAAGCCCCCTTGTTTTGGATGTCATTTTTGCCCTGCTGACTAAAAACCATGCTGCGTTCACGAAACCGTGTGTACAAGGTGTTGTGTGATTTTCACCAAAGCTATTAAGGATGTACAACAGGTGAAGCTTGTAAACGCTCTGATTATAAGATCTGTTAGACGAACCTGTCAAGACATTTCACGGTCAGCCTTGTGTACGTGTGTGTATATGAGAGAGTGTGTGTGTGTGTCCATTGTGTGTGCTGAATGTGTTTGTATGGTGACCCGACACACAAATGAGCTAAAGCCCATTGTAAAATCTGAAACGTTATATAAGACGATGATTATATATAAAAATGTTGATTGTGGTAGAATCTGGATGCGACCTGTGTTAAGAACATCTAGGACAAAGAGTCAATAAAATCGTCTGTTTTTCCAATAGGAATGGTAGAAGTTGTTCTTGACGTTTGTCGTCTGTCTGTCAATTTATTTACTTACACATTTACTAAATCTAAACGAGGACGTACCTTAGACTTATGATTACTACAGACAAACCCAAAACCTAAAAGAAAAATATTAGCATTTTTAGATGTGCATTTTATTTGCGTTGTTTTTTTTGTTTTTCAAATATTCTGTAGTTTTATTTTATATTTAAAACAAATCTGTATTTTGTGATCCAATTGCAAATTTTCCAATACACAAAGTATGGAGCTAAAATAGTGTCAAAATGAAGGGATTAACAAATGTGCAAGCAAATTCACATTCACAAAACGTGAATATAGTTTCAAAAAGAAATTAACAAACTCTGCATCTAATTTTGTGAATGTACATTTTGTTGTGCATTTGCGTGCTTATTAATAGATTTTCAAAATAAATATGATTCACCAGTGCTCAATTCACATTCATAAAAATAAGTTATTGCAAAACAGCAATTCACAAATTCATGACCTAATTTATGTACACAGTGAAATTTGGACAAAAATATTTTGTGAATTTAGTTCAATATTTACATAATGTATTTACAAAATATTCACAAATGCTCGATTCATATTCACAAAAAGTGTATATATTTGCTAACAGTAATTCATAAGATTCATAACCTAATTTATATTCACAAAATGAAATTTGGAAATGCAAATGTTTTGTGAAATGTAAATTTGGTTGAACATTTGCATACTTGGCTTAATATATTTAGAAAATATGATTCACAAATGCTTAATTCACATTCACAAAAATAAGCTGAGATATTTGCAAACAGGAATTCAACTCAATACTTGTAAGTTAGGTGAATTAAGTTGAGAGTTTTTACATTTGTTTGCATATTTTATAAATATGCTAATTTTGATACTATTGTAGCTCCATAGTAAAAGCAGGTTTTGTCAAATTTAGACAAGATCTGGAACAATTTTTTCTCCAAACTATAGAATTATAAACCTCAGATAATCGATGTTGTACAAATTGTGAACTTGCTGAACCACAAACTCAAGAAACATTCAAAGTTTATGCAATTTTATTACAAAAATGTAAACATAAAATGATACAAAAAAGGAAAATACAATTTTGTATTGTTTTCCCAATAGCAATTCTCAGGAAGGACATGAACTTATAAATATGTAAATTTACATTTCTCCTGACTCAAACTTGGAGAGACCATACAGCTGCACTTACACCACGGATTAAATGAAAGAAATACATAGAAAAATATTGCGAAATACCCAAGCACCAGCTCATTTTGGCCAAACGGGAGTTTGTGTGTTTGACATTTTGTTTCCCTACATGCTTTTTGAGTGAACTGAACATGTTTACAGGATTCAGGCCTTTGATCAGTGTTGCGGTTGTTCATTTAGACTTCGCAGATATCGGTTTCACTTGTGTCAGAGGATCCAGCCCATCTTTGACAGTCTAGTTCTCCTGGCAGGCACCTAATGAAGATGTTTTTGTTATTTTATCAATTGAAACGGATTGTACAGATAAGTTTAATACACACAGATATATGCTTACAGGCTCCAATACGCTCCTCCAGGAATCCGACCTGCTCACTGAGCGAGTCGATGCGGTCTAGTTGCTGCAGAGAATGTGACAGGAAGTTGGTCCTCTCAGGCAGGAAGCTGTTAGTGTCTCCCACACCATCCAAGGGGAAGAGCGTAGTGAAAGGAGCCAGAACCATCTCTAGTTTCTACAGAAAGGAAGGGCTTTTTACATTTGAGGACACTCAAATCATAAGTTTACAAATGGCAAATATGAGAATAAGGTTTCATACAGTAGTACTTAATAATTACCAAACTAACAATGCACAATACTTCTACAGCATTTATTAATCTTAGTTATTAATTTCAACATTTACTAATACATTTTTAAAGTTGTTAATGCACTGAGTGAACTAACATGAACAATTGTCTTTAGTAACTAACATTAACAAAGATGAACAAATGCTGTAAAACAGATACGGGAGTTTGTGTGTTTGACATTTTGTTTCCCTACATGCTTTTTGAGTGAACTGAACATGTTTACAGGATTCAGGCCTTTGATCAGTGTTGCGGTTGTTCATTTAGACTTCGCAGATATCGGTTTCACTTGTGTCAGAGGATCCAGCCCATCTTTGACAGTCTAGTTCTCCTGGCAGGCACCTAATGAAGATGTTTTTGTTATTTTATCAATTGAAACGGATTGTACAGATAAGTTTAATACACACAGATATATGCTTACAGGCTCCAATACGCTCCTCCAGGAATCCGACCTGCTCACTGAGCGAGTCGATGCGGTCTAGTTGCTGCAGAGAATGTGACAGGAAGTTGGTCCTCTCAGGCAGGAAGCTGTTAGTGTCTCCCACACCATCCAAGGGGAAGAGCGTAGTGAAAGGAGCCAGAACCATCTCTAGTTTCTACAGAAAGGAAGGGCTTTTTACATTTGAGGACACTCAAATCATAAGTTTACAAATGGCAAATATGAGAATAAGGTTTCATACAGTAGTACTTAATAATTACCAAACTAACAATGCACAATACTTCTACAGCATTTATTAATCTAATTAAACTAATACATTTTTAAAGTTGTTAATGCACTGAGTGAACTAACATGAACAATTGTCTTTAGTAACTAACATTAACAAAGATTAACAAATGCTGTAAAACAGATAAAGCATACAATTATATTACTATGTTTGCAGCATGTGGTAGGTTTTTGCAGATTTTCTGTATGCATGGATGGATGACATACTACATTCACCAAAATGTGCAAATGCACTACAGACTATTACATTAACCGTTAAATAAACCATTTATCTATTAAATAAACTATTAAAGAAAACTTTACTTGAAATACGTAGTGTAAATATTTTCTAAAATTAAATAAAATATAAATAACTTTAAAATTTAAAATGCAACTAAAAAATAAAAACTCATGAAAACTATGTAGACATAAAAAACTAAAACGAATAAAAATGGCATCCACACAACAAAATTACCAAAAATGTAGCTACAATTAAAATTTAAATGGAAAAAAAATACTATTAAAAAAATTCAAACTATTTATAAAAACTATAATAGTTTAACGGTTAACGGTCACCTGTATCTGCCTGTGTTTAATGCTTCAGAATCTGTGATGTGTGAGCTTGACTGCTTTTAATTAAACTATTAGCGAGGCTTTGAACCAGTAAGCTGTTTCCCATCGTTTGAAGTGGGATGTGTCCCGAGGGTGTGTGTGTGTGTGTGTGTGTGTGTGTGTGTGAGACCTGCTCGAGGAGCTCCACTCTGTTTTTAAGGATCTGAACTTCTTCGGTAACATTTTCCACCAATCCCAAACCTCCACCTTCAAGAACAAAAGAAATACACAGAAATTAGAGTGGACCACACACACACTGACATTCAGCCTTAATTAAAACCTGTAATGCAGCGCACAACTCTATTTTCGATGGTTTAAGATCCAGGCTTTGAACATAAATAATGCTGATATTCAGCAACAAACACACAAACTGACTGGGAGCTGTTGTAAGACTTTCAGAAAACACTGTTTTATATTAGATTTCTGCATGTTCTCTGCTTTCATGTATTCGTGATTAATATCCATAGCGATCCCAGAGCAGACCAAAGAGCACAGATGAATAAAAAGACAGACATAAATAGAAATAGAAAGAGAGAGGAGGAGTGGAGGGGGTGATAAAAGGGGGAAAGTTTGAGGTTTGGCAAGAATATGATGCAAATACTTTGATATGCACTCGGGTCCAGAAGTCTGAGACCATTAGTGAAAATGTTTCTTCTTTGAATTTAAAAAATATATATTTTTTTTTATACAAATTATATTAACTGCAAAAAAATTAATTTGAACTTAAAAATGTATATGAATTTTTTTCTTTAGTTAAACATTTAATTTTTTAATTTATATGATTGTATTTATTTAGTTACATTTTATTTAGAATTTTTACATTATTAAATTGTATTTAATTATTTTATATATATTTTTTTAAATAAATAATGCGTGTTAAAATGTATTTTATGAATTACTTAAATTATTTATGTATTGTATTTATATGATTATTTATTTATTTTAAATTATTTACTTATTGAAAATGATGCATTGATTTATTTAATTATTTATCAGATTATTTATTTAGTTTTTAATTATTAAACAATTTATTAAATATTATTGCTTTAATAATAGCAGCACTCTATTGTGAATTGTCTCAAAGAACATCTTTTGCTTCAGTGGAAGCAGGAACATCTGACTGCCTTTGCCACATGTCACTAATTTGCTAATTGTGACCAAGAAAGAACAAAATCTGAAACATTTCCTCATGTTACTTCATGTTTCTTTTGCTTAAAATGACTCAAAAACCTACAATTTTATTCATTTCCAGGGTAAAATGAGAAAATCCAGTGTTCTCAGACTTTTGCACTCCACTGTACATTAAATCAGGTCAGATTTAATCACAAGCTCTAGTAAAAGAATAACCGATGACTGTGATTGGTTGTTTTGTGAATGGAAGTGATTGACACCCAATCATATCAGAGCGCAGCCCAGTAAGCCCCGCCCCTTGACAATTATTCGGAATGTTTTTGGTTGTGAGCTCTAACAGTCTAAAAACAGTCTAAAAACTAGTCAATGGGTCGCACACACACACTGAAACTCAGTCAATCTGTCCCAGATGTGTGGTGTTATGAAGACACGTGGGAGTGAGCGAGAGCCGCTGTGTGTGTGTGTGTGTGTGTGTGAGGGAAACCAGTGACCCCCAGCAGTCTGAGTTTGATAGATCTGGAATGTGAGCTCCAGATCGAGCCAAAACGAAAGCGAGAACAACAGCTACAAATGGTGTCCGGCAGTGGCCTCTGCAAAATCACCATCATCACACAGCTAAACATTCAGCTTCCTGTTCTTCTATCTGACGACACTAATGCAGTTATAAACTCCAGCTTTCTGGGGATTTGGTCATTCTTGCTTTCTGGGGAAGTGTTTGGACATTCATTTATGTGGTCAGAATGACATTATAACTAGAGATAAGAGCAAAGAGCAATGCTCTCTCTTTCTAAACAATTCACTTAAAGATAAGGAATGACATTTTTAGCCAAAGTTAAAAATACTCTCTCATTCCACTTGTGTACATATGTGCAAAATCAGCAAGTTTAGTCCAACAATAAAAAAAGCTCATTAAAACAGACAATGCAAGAAAGACATGTTTGAATGACTTAAACATATCTTTAACACATGCACACATTGCATAAGCAATTAGACATTTTGCCTTTAACATGTATTAATAAATACCTAAATAATATCAAAAATACCATGTTTTTGGTACTACAGAAAAACGGTAGTAATCTGGTATTAGCCAACACTGTCATAATTAATTAAAGCAAGAATATATTTTTTAAATAGAATGATTTTATTGAATATTTATTTTAATATTTTATATTATTTTTTATATTATTTTATCTTTTTCAATTATATATATTTTTTATATTTAAATTTTTTATTTTTTATTAAATTAGTAATAGTTTTATTAAATTAATTTAATTATTATTTTTTTTTTATTATATTTTTTACTGTAGCAACAGTAACCAGATATTTGGTGTAAACTGAATAAAATGAGCTTACACCTTGAGGTTTGATGAAAGTATTCTGTTATTAGCTACAACTGTCATCAAAAAAGAAAAAGATTTTAAAAAGCTTACATATTTCTTTATTAAATATTTTTAATTAACATTTTATTATTTATTTATATATAATTAGTGTAAACTATGGTTACCATAGAAAATAATTTGGAAGTGAACTAGTCTTGCTGGACAGTAAAAATATTATTATTTTTTTTATATTATTTTATTCGATATTTTAAAATGTAATGATCAGCCTAACGGGCTGGGTTACAAAATAATTAATATTTTATTCGATTTTTTTTTACATGAATCATATTATTATTAATAAGTAACTGTACCAAATAAAGCATTTGGTGAAAGCTGTGATTACCATGGTAAAACAGGGGGACTGGTTTTGCTGGTCAGTGAGGCTGATGACAGGTTTAGAGTCCCACAGACAGATGCAGACTCCGGGTCAAACTCAACCACACTAGTGCTCAGGGTCACTCAGACGCTTTCTTCGAAATGTTTTTCTTATGATAAAATCATAAAGCGTTTCCCTACAGAAACATGGTTTTCTACAAACGTTTCGGTGACCTTGCTAGCGTGGATCCAGACATTATTGCCGAGACGTGGAAATGTGCTGCTCTCTTGTTCAAACTGCAGGAATGTGTGTTTGAGCTCGGGCCAGCGGTCAGAACAAGTGGCGATTATTTTAGCTTGTCGTTAGGAAACATGACTATCTAGGGCCAGAGGAGATTCTGATCCTGCTGTTATTTTTAAAATCGCAGACAGATTTGAAATAGTGTAGGGAGAGAAAAATGAAGAAACAAAGAAAAAGAGGAGCGAGACGCTGCCAACACAAGCTCGATTTGGCAAACTAGAGAGAATAACGCTCAGCAGTTCTCATAAAGACATTGGACACTTCTCAGCTGAAAGAAACATCACTAGGCTGACAATTAGAAGCACATCAGTTGTGTTTTGCTCTGCACAGGGTTGTTATAGTTAAAAATAAGTTTAATATAAAACTATTTCAATCATGACAACTCTCTGAACATTTTAGCATGGTGATGGATATGACAATGTTAATGTATCGGTCTTGGTGGAACAGATCTGCTACGCTGCTGCCGAATTGCTGCTGCTGTTGGTTATTGCTGAAGTTGTAGATTATTGCTGCTGTTGCAAGCAAGTACAGGAACTTGCATATAAAATAACCCCGTAGGAGATCTATACAGGTGGAGCTGGGGAAGGTGGAGGGTTTCAGAGAACCTCTGAAAGCGCGCTGCAGGAATCTCAAGTGAATGCTAGCCAGCCATATAAATGCAAGGCAGTAAGCTCATTGGCTGCATATGCAGCATGAACCAATCAGCTTGTGCCAAGTCGTTTAACTCTCCGAATATCATCAGTTACGTTAACACCCCGTCAGAATGCGCCATCTAAAGTTTCATGACTGAACTATATATGAAAACATTTTTGTTAATTGAAATAAAGCTGAAATAAATATTACATGAAAAATGGAATTAAACTTTTACATCTTGGAAAGTTAAAGCACTAAAATGAACTAAACTGGAAATAAATAAAAACTGATCTAAAACTAACTCTTAAATTTAAAAAAAATCAATGAAACCTAAATAGTAATATAAAAATGTTTTTAAAAGAGAGACAAACTAAACTTCAAATGAAAACTGAAAATATTCTAATTAAACCATTCAAAATATGAATAATGACTATTTACAATTTACAACCATTCATGATGACTTGATTATTATTAATATTATATAATGATTATTTAATTGTTATTTTAAATATATATAATTATTTAAAATAATAATTAAAATAATATCAATAATAATTAAAATAATATTCAAGTAAAAGTTAAATGAAAATTAAAAATAAATAATCTAAAGATAAATAAATCTAAATGGTAAATTGTAATATATATGCACAAAATAAACAAAATAAAAATTTAATTACCGGTAAAATGAAAAGCAAAATATAAAAAATAAAGCTAATTCATATAAATAAATATTAATAACATATATTTAAGAGTATATGAAAACAACACTTGTTCTGCATTCTGCCATTTTCAAGCAAAGGGTTAGTTGTCGTATAGACTAACTAAAACTAAAACAGAAAAATTAATTAAACCTAATAGTGGTTTAAAATAACAATAATAATAATAAAAAAATAACTTAAAATTAAATAAAAATATTGATAATTTTTTATAATATTAAAATAATAAATAATATTTTAGATTCTCTGCACTGGCTACCTATTAAGTTCCATATCAGTTACAAAATATTATCCTATAAGGCCCTTAATGGGTCAGCTCCTGTGTACCTAACTAGTCTTCTACCACACTACAATCCATCACGCTCCCTAAGGTCGCAAAACTTTGGACTTTTGGTAGTACCTAGGATATCAAAGTCCACTAAAGGAGATAGAGCTTTTTCACATTTGGCTCCCAAACTCTGGAATAGCCTTCCTTATAACGTTCGGGGCAGAGGCGAACTTACACATTAGGCAAAGGTAGGTGACCGCCTTGGGCCCCCAAAAGCCAAGGGCCCCCTAAAATGCTTTTCATCTACGAGATGATGACATGAGAATGGTTGCTTTTTACAGTGCTTATCACCACGACAACCGTCTGCGTGTCCGAGCTGAACACACTTCTGGTGTATCCTGCTTGTAGCAAATGAAAATATCATGTATCTGAAGCTGTAATTAAATATTGCGCAACAGTGCATATTATATGTTTATTGTTTTAAATGCCGCTTACTCATTTATGAGAAGGACCCAAGTAGAGGACGCATACGCAGTTATTTGTTTGGTTGATATAATCCTTAGGTGTGTAAATGTATAATTTCCATTTCATTATTTTTTCATTTTTCAAATTTTCATAAATTTGTAGTTAAAATAAGTGTATTTTAAAGTTTAGAATTAGACAGCCTTTGGCACACAGGCTTATGCTGGTAACTCATCAGTGGACTTTCCTCCTCAATATAGGCTATATTTTTCTCATTCTCACAAATTGAATTTTATATGAATGAATCTCTGAAGGGTACATTTATGAGCAGCACTGCTTTGTTTACAGCCGTTACCGGGGAAACCCAAAAGTTCCAAAAGCGCTTCCTGCTGGCAGAGAATCAATGTGTATTTTCAATAATCCCATCTGCAGTTTTTGTTCAGACCAATGCGAAAATCCACCCACATAACCCTGTTTTAAATTAATACCATAATTTATACTTCCGACTCATCTCTTTTCTTAAAAAATGGTTTAAAGGCTCAGTTGTGAGGTTTATCATTTTATTATTTATTTTGTTTTTGTGAAAACTGTAAATCAGTTGCTATTTCGTGGTCTACAGCATGAAAAAAAACATTATAACATGTACATAAAAAATTTAGAAACATTGGACACAACTGTGGGGCACCATTGTGCAGCAGCAAGCATCACAACAAAAAAGGAACCTCAAGGTTGATCTAGGAAAATGTGTGCAAATGTATAGGGCCCGATTCCTATATTTTGCCTGGGGCCCCCAAATCACTAAATCCGCCCCTGGTTCGGGGTTCAGACACACTCTCTCTGTTTAAATCTAGATTAAAGACACATCTCTTTAGCCAAGCATTCAAATAATGCATCTCATAATCTTTTACTGCAGTTATATCTGATCAAATGCACATTTTCATTCTTTTGCTTGGGTTGAACACATCATTTCTTGCTCAGTTGGAACAGCAGCTACGTTAATTTCTCTCTATTTCCTTCTCTGTTTCTGCCACGGGATTGGCATCATTTATAATTTAATATCAACTAAATATTTGTTTTATATAATACAATGTTGAATTGTATTATAATATTTAGAATGAATTCAAATAACACATACAAATAAAATATTACAAATGTGTAATTTTTTATAAAAAGGACAGCTAAAAATCTGGAGGGGAAAAAAAACTATTGTCAAGATCTGTTTGAAGAAATATAATACAACGCCACAATCTGTTAAATGATAATATGCTCAATGAGAGACACTGTATTTGTCAGGAAACCGTGTGCTGCTGCTGGGTGTTCAGGGGGTCTGTTATTGTGGTTTTGAGGTGGTTTTCAGACGGATGTGGTCCAGGTTTGTGGTTGGTCTGTGTGTTGTCGCAGAGGACACCAGTCACAGTGCACTATTACTCACGGTACGAGTTGAGAGTGGCATAGCGCGTACCAAAAGTAATAATGAACCGTGAGGCTGGTCAGGGCTCCACCTGCAGGGGGTGCTAGAGGGGAAACACACTCATACCGCCGTATAAAAGCCAACAATCACGCATTTCTGACACTGTAATGTATTCATTTTTACTTATGTGTTTTTGAGACCATTTTTCATGTACTGTTCATCTGAAGATGCATGCAAGTTTAGAATAAGCGTGTCTCTATTCATTTGAAAAGCAAGTGCTGGGACTTCCAGTGGATTTGAGAAGTATGCATCTGTGCATGCTTTTTGGGTTTATATTGCCCACAATGCCTTGTGCAATGGAAAAGCGGGAATCTGAGACTGTCCACTTCCCACACTTTCAATTGCAGAAAAGTGGTCAGGAATGTGGGACCGAAACCGTTTATAAATGTATGAACTTATGATGAATGGTAGGCTAATGCATTCAGATCTATGCGAACAGGGATCTGTGGTACGAGTATAATGTGTCCCAATGCTTGCATACTTAAAAGTATGTAATTTATGTCCTGATATAGTCACAAACAAAGTATATAGTTGTAGTGTTTATTAGAAATCCATAGACTTATGCTTTAATACTTTAAATTAAAATAATTAAAATATATGTATCTAAATATATTTATGAGTATATATTTAAATATAAATTAAAATAATAATAAATTAATCTAATTAAAAATAAATTGATTAGCAAAAATAAAATGTTGAGTTGGACAAACTTGTTCCATAGACTAATGATTTAATACTTAAAATTGAAATAACTTAAATATTAAATATATGTATTTAAACATAACTATATTTAAATAAAACATATTTATGAATATATATTTAAATATAGAGTTAAATATAAATTAAAATAATAATTTAAAAAAGTTATTTGTTTTGCAAAAATAAAATGTTAATAAAATGTTAATTTGGACAAACTTATAGACTTATGCTTTAAATTAAAATAGTAAAAAAATGAATATATGTATTTAAATATAAATATAATTATTTTAAAATAAAATATATAGTTAAATATAAAATACAATAAATCTAATTAAAATGAATTAATTACCAAAAATAAAATGTTATAACTGGACAAACTTGTTCAATAGTCTCATGCTTTACTGTTTTAATAAATACAATTAAATATTTAAAAACAAAATAATTATAAAATAAAGAATAAATCTCATTAAAAATTA